CACCCCTGTCATCGTAGCTACTCAAAATGATCTGAGGATTGAGGTTCAAAGACAGCCCAGGCAGGAAAATCTGACAGACTCTTATCTTCAATTAACCATCAAAAAACTGGAACTGGAGGCATCGCTCAAATGATAAAGTGTTGGCCTTGACTGAAAAAGCCAAGTGAGAATGCAAGGCCAGGAAGTGGTTCTGTGGCTCAAGTGGTAGAGCGCTTGCCTTGAGCTGAAGAGCTGAGGGACAGCACCCAGGCCCAGAGTTCAAGCTCCACCACTGACCAAAAAAAGAAAAAGAGAGAGAGTGCAAGCCCTGAGTTCAAGCTCCAGTACAAAAAGAGAAAAAAAAAGAATGAATAATTGATAATAAGGATTTCAAATAACTAAGAAATAACTGTTAAGGTAGCTCAGAGGTAGACCAGTTGCCTATCATCCACAGGCCCTGGGTTCACTTATTCTTTACTTTATTTACAATAATAGCCACAACCAGTATTTCTCAAACTTGCCTCCTTTCTCAATTTCAAAAAGTACTGTCTGATGAACTGAACCATTTGTGGTTTTGTGACATCTGGAAGGTACTTTTTGGCCTGGTCTAGAGGAAAGGCTCTGAGGACACTCCACGAAAATGGGATGCTTTAAAACACAGTCTTTCTGAGTCTGGGGAAACAGCCAACTGTCCACAGAACCTGTCACTGTGAAGTTCAGAGGTTGCACAGCAAATTCAGTACCAAGAAGAAAGTGATAGTGAGTTTGAGTCCTAGTCTTAGGCAACTTTAAACAAAAAACAAAAAAACCTTTAAACTTGTTCTACTAGAGTCTTGGATAGGTTGATAGGTAGTATATTACTAAGGGAAATCAGGGACGTTCCAAGAACACTTCTGGTATTTCAGGACACAAACACTGTGGACTCTCCCTGGCTGTGGTCGAAAGTTTTAGCTAGTAGTAGACTTTGGTTTGATCTGTGATGACATGTCTGGCCTTCTTAAGAATATTGTACCAGGAATAAAAAGCCATGCTAGAACACCCAAAAGTGCAGGTGAGCTGTCTCAAGAGACAATCTGCTCTGAGTACAGTTCAAAACTCCAAGTTTGGCCCAGCCAAGGGTAGCCCACTGAGGCCCTTGGCACCTGCTAGACTGTTGTTTTCAGCCCGGCTAATAATGATGGTGATGTCTAAGGTGGCGGTGTCGACCACACTGATAGGCTGAGACAATTTCATCAAGGTGGTCAGTTTCCAGATGGGCAAGTCAGAAATGTCTCTATGTCTCCAAGCATAGGTCAGTTTCCATAGATTCTGACCTTGGCTAGCCCTCCCCAACACGATGAAGAGGGGGATTCCAACGGCATAGTGTTCTGGGACTCAGCATGACCTCCCCAGGAGAAAGGATGCATTAGATTCAGAGCTCAAAAATTGCCACTGTCTTCTCTATTTCCTTTCCTCTCTTCTTCCCTTTCTCCTTTCCTTCCTTCTGCTCTCCTTTCTCCTCTTTCTTCTTCTTTCTACTCTCTGTTCTCTCTGATCAGCCTTCTTCCCGAGGCCTGGATGGCCTTGCTAAGACTTCCTGAGTATGAAGGGTGGAAGGCAGGCCGATAAAAGTTGAGGCCTCCTCTTTTCTTGTAGTTCTCACTGAGGCAAAGCTCACAGTCTTCTGTCAGTAAATACACCCAGTGTTGTGCTGACCCTAGCATTGATGGGAAAGCAGAGAGGGGCTTTTGAGTCTCTTATTTTCCTGTCCGTTAGAGTCACCATTCTTAACCAAGGTTTGAGGCCCAAATTGGGGCCTGATTCAGTGATGGAAACCCCAAGCTTGAAGGCTAGGTTGGTGCAATACAGGGTGGGATTGCGGACAGGAAGCTGTGTGGCTGTGTGGGTGTAAGGGAAGGGCTTCCTCCCTCTCTCACACTTTCTATGCAGAGGGGATCGGTCTCAGCATTCTCCCTTCCCCCAGCCCAGCAGACAGACACACTCGAATCCTCAGCCAAATACTGGGTGCAGGCAACAGTGCAAATAACTACCAAGCAAACCCAATCTGCAGCAATGTGTCCATGTCCCTTCTGGAAAAGAAGTCACCATTTCTTAGCTTTATCTTCTCAGCTCAGTGAAAATTGGCTTTTCAGCACTCTCATCCTATCTCTTGGTTATCTTGGTGAGCACTTAACTCCCAGCACCTTGGACTACCCTAGTTTTGTTTCCCTGCCTCCAAAAGTACTGCTTTCATGTTAGAAGTGGCAGGAGTTTGGCCCTTTCTAAATTCAAGCTCAACTTCAATAAACACATAACAACCAGGGAGAAGTCCCCCCTGAGTTTAGCAATTCATTTGAATGTTGTTTTGTCTGTGTTATTGTGAGAGGATCTGTCAGTGCTCTGTAGGCTGAATAACGTTATTGACAGCAAAACAAAGCAATCAGCATATTGGAACAAGAGTGGATGGGCCTGGGAATATTCAGAAGACAACTGACAGGACTTGGAGATTAGCTTGAAGACAGTAGGAGTAAATAGGAGGAGGATGACACGAGAACACAGCATGGACCACGAGGAGCACAAGGCACTGTTGGTTCTCTTAGACACACTTAATTTGGAGCTGGATGTACACATCTGTCCTCAAGAGACAGCTGGGTTCAGAGAACTGGCAGGTGGACATTACCAGCATAGAGATAGTTAGGGACTGGCTCACCCTTAATCTTGAGAAGAAGACAGGGATATATAGAAGTAAATGGAGATAAGGCCTGAGACCGCCCATTAGATGAACAAAGCTTACTGGAGGCCTCTAGGTGAGCAGTTTCCAGGAGGAGGCTTGGGTAAAGGTTGGGTCTTATGCCAGAGACTGACAGTTATCAAACTCAGTTCCTTCTTCTATGCCCCAGCATTAATTCAATTTCCCAACCTCCCTTGTAGCTGGGTGAGGCCCTGTGTCTGAGTTTTGGCCAATGCATGAAATCAGGCAGCGGCAGCGACGTGCCATTGTCTCTGGGACAGAGCACTACCCTCCAAGCATCTTCTCCTCAAGTCTGCTGGCCAAAGGAGCTAAGGGGCTTCCAAGCCTTGGAGGCACAGAGAAAACCATCACTGTATTATTGTGTGGTAAAAGGGGGAGGCTATAAAGTCAAGCTGGACAGAGCTTAAGGAAAAGCAGGCTCATGGAACCATCCACGTGGAGACCAGGAGTTAGCAGTGGAGTGACAGGCAGCCAGCAGAACAGCTGTGACTGTAGAGGGCCAGAGGGTCAGAGAAGGACCAGCACACCATCAGAATAGCTAAAATTTGAAATTCAGATCAACTAGAGGGACCCAGGTGCCTCGAGATCATGAAAGTTCCACAGGATAAGCTCAAAAGCCAGTGCTCCCTGCACAGCCAGGGGAAGGCTGGAGCTGACAGATGGTAGCAGCCCAACACCTGCCTGCACAGAGACTCGCTTCCTGTGTTCATCCTCATAGCCATATGAGCCATATAGCCATGTGAGCCATATAGGCTTCTAGGACCTGGCTTTGAGCCCACCCTTTGCAGACAGGCTACTTACCTGGGCGACAGTCCTGACCAGGGCCCAATTTTAGGTTGGCATTGTTCTCTATTTTTCTGAGACTAGTCAGACAGGATTTGCGAAGGAAAATTGTTCCTCTTCTTATCTGCCTAAGGGAACAGATTTTGGATCAATACGATTTTGACTTCCAATCTTATAACTTATAGCACAGACAGGTGGTCTGGAAGTGTACAGAATAGTTAAGATAAACCAACCTGTCTGCAAGATGCCAGTGGTTCACACCTGTAGACTAGGATCTAAAAATTGAGGTTTAAAGCCAGCTTGGGCAGAAAACCTCATGAGACTCATCTCCAATTAAGCACCAAAAAGCTAGAAGTGGAGCTGTGGCTCAAATGGCAGAGTGCTAGCCTTGAGTACCCAGCACCCAGGCCCTGAGTTCAAGCCCCAGGACTGGCTTGAGAAAAAAAAAAAAGCAACCTGAAATACAAAATCTTCTAGCATGGTGTGAGTCTAGCATGGTGTGAGAGTTGGCAGAGATAGAGTAGAACACAAAGTATAAGAGACATGTGAGTCATTTCCAGCCCACACCTTAGCAACCCATATGGATCAATGACTTCCAAAAGGCTAAGGGGGGCCTGCAGTCCCACTCCCTTATGTTCTGTCACAGTTCCCTCCAAGAGTGCCTCGCCTAACCACCATAAATGTGGCTGTGGAGAAGACCAGTAGGAGAAAGGGAAGCATCCTGAATAGACAGAAGATGACCTCTCCAGGAAGAGGAACTGATCATACACCTAACCAAGCACTCAAGAGACAAGAGAAACAAGTGTCATTTTTATTATCCAAATTCAAGAGGCATTCAAGAAATCCTGCAAAACAGCAGAACCGACTAATGTTACTGAGTTCAGTTCACTGGGGGGGGCAGGAAGAGTTGCTGGTGTCATCAAAGAAGGAATTCAAGGATGAACAGAGGAGACTCAAGTGGGAGCCATTTTATCAATGCAAAGCAAAGTGAAAATACACCCCAAGACAGGAGGGTAGGTTGGCCTTATAAGGAGCTGTTGCCCTGAGGGTCTCAGTGACCCTCATGCTTTTGGGGTCTGTAGCCATGGGTCTGGTCAGTCTTGGAAAATCTAGCTATGTGCCATTAACTCCTGAAGGCTGAAATACATATATCATCAGCTCCTCCCACACATTAGGTAGTAGAGTTCTTGTTTCAGATGGTCAGTGCAAAGATTTTATTTTCCCTGGGTTGCGGGGGATATGGGTATGCCACAGTGGTTTTCTCAGCAGTGAGGGTATAATTTTTTTTTATTATTCGTAACATCCAAGAGCCGGGCACCGGTGGTTCATGCCTGTAATCCTAGCTACTCAGGAGGCTGCGATCTGAGATTGTAGTTCAAAAACAGCCCAGGCAGCAAAGTCCCCGTGAGATTCTTATCTCCAATAAACTACTAAAAAAAAAAAAAGCCAGAAGTGGCTCTGTGGTTCAAGTGGTAAGAGTGCTAGCCTTGAGCACAGAGAGGCTCAGGGACAGCGCCCAGACCTTGAGTTCAGGCCCCAGGAATGCCAAGAAAAAAAAAAAATTAAGATCCGAGCCTTGTTCTCAGCCATCAGATCACCTAACGCTCTACATAATCCTTTCTCACTAGCTGCCAAGATGGATAAGAAGTGATTCCCGAGGATGGCCTTCCTCCTGGATGTGCTGCTCCAGGGCTCTGAGTACAGGGTTGGCAGAGCACGGTGCTGTGCGGAGGCCAGGCTGCGGAGGCCACAGCTGGCTGGGATGTTTCCAGGAAGAGGTGCAGCCAGATGCCCCTGTACCCAGGTGCAGGTGGAAATCCTTTCTTTCAGGCTCATAAAGGACCAACGCTCCTCACTCCACACAGGACAGCATCCTTGGCTTCATCGGGGCAGGCAGCTGGCCACGGGCTCTTGCAGCACCTGCATGAAGTTCATGGAGCACAGCAACAGTGGGCATATTTTCTCATGTTCCTTCAGCGCCTCGCTCAGGTGCCTCAGCTCCTCTGTCAGCTTTCCGATCTCCCTCCGCAGAAGTGTGTTTTCTTGCTCCAGGCACTCATATTCCTGTGGACGAAAGACCATGGACAAACACATTTGTGAAATCACATTCCCTTCCTCTGACTTCTGGAAAGCTCTAACCTGCAGCCCAATGCTGACCTCCTGCCTGGAAGGCTTTGTCATTACCTCTCCCATTGTGTTTACTGGCTTATGGTTTTTCTTCTCCCACCACAGAATGGTCATGACGGCAGAGAGCACCGTTTGTCTGAAGGATGATTTACATAAAATGCCACGTGTGGATATTGTCTATAATTCAATGAGTCTTGATAAATGTTTAAACCAGTTGGTTTATATAGAGAGTATTTCCATCACTCCAAAAAATGCCCTTGAGCCTCTTTGGGCCAGGCCCCCACCTATCCCCAACTGATGACTTGCTTCCTGAAGATCTCTGTTGGGATCTGAACTATATCTCTAAGCACCTAGACTAGTACCTGGGATATAAAGTGTTTGTGGATTACACAAGCAAATAACATGAAAACACCTCTTAATTCTCCAGTATGTAAGGGTTCACACAGGTTTCACAGACTTCCCTTTATCCAACTCACATAGAGCAACATAATATAAACCTCTTATGTGTAATGTTAGCTCACATCTTGGGGCACGCCCGCATGCCCACTTTCCAAGGACTGCCCTTGTCATTTCTGAGCTGCTCTATTAGAAAGCTCCTTTGTGTGTGGATTAAAATCTTATACCATCCCTGGGTGTCAGTGGCTCATGCCTATAATTCTAGCTACTCAGGAAGCTGAGATCTGAGGATCAAGGTTCAAAGTCCATGAGACTCTGATTTCTAATTAACTACCAAATAAGCTGGAAGGAGAGTTTTGGTTTAAGTGGTAGAGAACTAACTTTGAGCACAAAAGCTCAGGGACAGGACCGAGGTCCTGACTTCATGCCCCAAGATTGGCAGAAAAACAAATAAAAATGTCATACACTCTCATCAATTCCACCTATCTGGCTTGGTTCAAACTAAGGGAACAACATAGAAACTCCAATGCTTTTTCACTATTGTTCTCTACTCCCCCTCTCCCCCAGGTCTCAAGATTTGTATCCTTTACGTTCAACTGTCTTAGGGCCTCTGAGTTCCTTGGTCAGGTCTTTCAGCCCCTCTAGCCTCCCATTCACTGTCCCCGACACACATTCCAATGTGCCAGAGTTCTAAGAAAATGTCACTGCCAGAACACAGTGCATCGTTCTGGAGAGCACACAGAGGCCAATGTATGGTGCTGGCCTCTCGTGCTGGCCCTAAGCCACTGGGGTTTGTCCCTCCGCTTGCAGAATGCAAACCCCATCTACAGGTGCTGCTTCACCATCTCCATGTGGGTGATGATTCAAAGTTTAAGGGGAGGGCTTTAACGGAGTCCACCGAGTCTCACTCTGTCTACTATTTGAGTGCCAACCGTGTCACCTCATAGAGCAAGGCACTGATTCTGTGGCAGGATACTGAGCTTTGGCTCCAGAGCCATGAGGATCCCTGAGGCCTCTCACCTTCCCAAGGCATCATTATTTCCCCAGGCTCTGCTCAGAAAATCTCTGGTGCTATCCAGGCCTCTCATTTGCCTTCTCCACGGAGACTTTCTTTTCTGGGACTTATGTTTTACACATAACTGTGGGACTTTTACTGAGGTAATGGAATACAAGGGAATAAAAAGTGGGAAAAAGGGCTGGGAAGGTGGCTCAGTGGTAGAGCACTTGCCTTGCATGCATGAGGCCCTGGGTTTGATTCTTCAGCACCACATAAGCAAAAAGAAAAAAGCCAGAAGTGGCGCTGTGGCTCTAGTGATAGAGCGCTAGCCTTGAGCTGAAGAGCTGAGGGACAGCGTCCAGGCCCAGAGTTCAGGTCCCACGACTGGACCCCACAAAAAAAAGTGGGGAAAAAAATCCCCAGGTGAAATGAATCCTACCAAAAGAAAAAGAGGAGCTGGGAGAAGAAGAGTCCAGAGATCACAGAATAGGACCAAGAGGGAGAGAAGGAAGTTCACCTCACACTGAGAAGGAACAGCTACATTTCGCCCAGACAGCTAAGTTAGCAGAGAACATTTAACTCAATGTGCTTTCTAAAGAGTTGATCCAACTCATTCAAAACCTGTAGAACTGAGGGAGGGTTTGAGGGCGCTGTGCTATCACCCCAGGACTTTGTTAACCTGGCACAAAGTTCATAAAAATTCCTAATTTCAAATCTATAAAAATCAGAGGTGATGGAATTACTGCAAATCCCAATTGGAAATGAAGCTGCGTGGCTCTTACTTGGGGCAATTTTGGTAGTCCCTAGGTGAGATCTTGAGGCATTTGGTGGCCCCTGGACAGTTTGGGTAGTGGGGGAAGAAGGTAAGATTGCATCCAGTGGGTGGAAGTGAGGGATCCTGTTCAAAGTCCTACAGTACATGGGACAGCCGCTGCCCCTACAAGGAATTAGCCAGCCCCTGTCAACAGTGCTGAAGTTGAGAAGCCTTGTTCTGGGCCTCTCTGAGAAGTTGCCTGGAGGAACACACAGCTGTCTGGGTCTTCCAGGGTCTAGGGTCCTCTAAAGAAGATGACAGGATTAGGGATGAGTGGAGGTGATGTGGGTATTAGAGAAAAGAAGTAAAAGCTTGTGTGCAAAGGAAAGGAGGGTTCAGAAAAAGTAGCCATGAGGCTAGGCTGGTGGCTCACACCTGTAATCCTAGCTACTCAGGAAGCTGAGATCTGGGGATTGCAGTTCCAAACCAAATCAGGCAGACAAACCCTGAAGAGTCTCTTATCTTCAATAAAGCAGCAAGAAACCAGAAGTGGAGGTGTGGCTCAAGTGGTACAATACCAGCCTTGAGCAAAAAGCCAAGTGAGAGCTCAGTGCCCTGAGTTCAAAACCCAGTACTGGTTGGAGCTCTCTCTTTCTCTCTCTCTCTCTCACACACACACACACACACAAGCCATGAGGACATAGCCATACACTGCCCCCATTTCATGTCATCTGGTGGAAACTCTGAGAGGTAGTGACATATCCAAGGTCACAAAGTACCAGCATTTTTGCTTTAGTTGGCAATATCTGGGCCCAAATTCCCCCACAGTGATTACCAGGAGAAACTAGAGGCCTTGCCAAGCCCTAAAACATACTTAGCAGCAGAAAAATTATGTCACTAATAAGGGCTGTGCCAATTAGTGTCATACTCAGTTTCTAACCCCAGTGGGGAGAGCCTGAAGCATCTCATTAAACAGGCAGTATCTGATTAAAAAAAAAAAACCTGACAACACATACCATAACCCTATTGCCCAAGTAATTCATCTGTTTGTGAAATTTGGGGCTCTTGAAGCTGGCATTGCTGCTTTCCTTTTCTGACTCAAATTTCTTTCTCAGTCTGACATCTTTGGGTGCCTCACTGAACCAGCCTGACCCACTTCTTTTTTGCCACTTCTAGGTCTTGAATTCAGCCTTATGTTCTTAGTTGGCCTTTTGGCTCAAGGATGGCACTCTACCACTTGAGTCATATCTCCACTCTCACCATTTTTTTTCTGGCTAATTGGAGCTAAGAGTGTATGGAAATTCCTGCCTGCGCCAGCTTCAAACCAACATCCTTACATTTCAGCCTCCTGAATAGCTAACATTATAGGTGTGAGCCACTGGTGCCTGGCTTTTTGATCCACTTTGGAGCCACCTTTCTGTTTGCTTAGAGTTCCTGCTGTTCCCCTTGGGTTCCCATTTGTGAATAGAGTCCAGCATGCACCTAATGTTCCGAAGCAAATGGAGGTAGAAATCCCCATAATAGGTGTAAGTGTGTAGAAGAAATGAATTGGAAATCAAACACAAAGGGTTGCATATTACAGCAACCATACCCCATGGGAAATTCTAACTTCCTTTGTTTGGCCCATCCCTTCTTGATAGGTAGATGGCTTGTATGATGGAGAACTGGGCCAAGAAACTCAGAAGAGATGGAGCTATCAGGGTGCTGGCAGTGACTGGAACCCAAGGACAAATGTTGTATGTAAACGAAGGGAGCGGAAGAGAACAGTTGTGTTCCATACCCTCTGTGGCATTCAATAAATATAAGTAAAGAATCAGAGCTACTTTGATGTTAAGGACTTCTGCCTTATCAGTATGGAATAGTCCTGGGGCTTGAACTCAGGGCCTGGGCACTGTCCCTGAGCTTCTTTGGCTCGAGGCTAGTGCTCTACTACTTGAGCTACCATGCCACCTGTGGCTTTTCCTGCTTATGTGCTATTGATGAATGGACCCCAGGGCTTCGTGCATGCTAAGCAAGTACGCTACCACTAAGCCACATTCCCAGCCCCAATGAAGGCTCTTTCAATAGCTCACTATCTCCAGTGGGTAGCAAGCAGCTGTGGCTACTAGGTGACTATCTTCCTGGTCCCTGGATTCCTCAGGCTGTAAAGTTTCCATGCTGGTGTCGTGCTCTCTCTTTCTCTATCCTAGATGTGATCCAGGAGCCCTCTAGGTCCCACCGGTTTTCGGTGAGAACCCACAGTGGTGTGCTAAATGCTCTACACTCAAGTCACAGAAGCAGAGTGAAAGTATTCTTTACCCCATTTCTTTGACCAGTCACTCCACTTCCAGTACAGAGTGTTAGTCATTCTGTGTCTTTCCACCACACCACTGCCCATGCAGAATAGAGATTCGCCCTAACTATAATGTCCTCCTGAACAAGGCCAGGAAGTAACAGAGAGGGGTTATTCTTGTGGTGCTTTTTAGTTCACAGATGACATTCATCCTCTTCTGCAGAAAGTGTGGGATGTGAGTCCATCTTCCAAAGCCAGTTGCTCCCTCCCATCTTCCTCCCCCCTTTCTAACCGGTGATGCTTGTATGCAGTGAGTAAGAGAATGGTGAGGGCTACAGCTTTGGGGTCTGGAGAGAGATGTAGCCAGGGTCCTGACTTCCTTGGAACTGTGTTTTTCAACAATGCTAGCTTTGCTGAGTGGTGCATATCCTGACCCCGCTCTCCAGCCCCACAGAGAAGGAGAAAGGCTTGGACTTCATATTTATCTGCCCCAGCTCTGGAATGGGTAACTGGTATAACTGTCTAGCAACCCAGCCACTGAACAGGATAGCCCAGGGGCTCTATGGTTCTAGGAGAGACTAAGCAGAAACAGACAGAACACCACTCCTCAATTCTATTGGTTATGCAATCTGCTCTACACCTGTATGTCCTTTGGGGACTCGGTAGTAAAGTTACATGGATACTTACATTATCATCTCTGAAAGGTAAAATCACAACCGCTCAAAGATGCCTACACCCTAGTCTCTGGAACCTGGGAAGGTGATGCCTATTTAGCAAGAGGGACTCTGCAGATAATATTGAGAGGCATAAAATGGGGGAGATTATCCTGGATTGTCCAGGCACAATGTCATCATGACTGTGCTTGTAAGTGAGAGAAGAATCGGGTGATGATGCAGCCACTGCTAGAGTAACACAGCATGAGAAAGACTCAACTGGCCCTTGCTTCTTGAGAAGATGGAAGGGGCCACAAGCCAAGGAATGTGGAGGCCTCCAGAAATGGAAAACCAACAACAAACAAACAAGGAAAAAGATCTTTTACAGAGCGTCCAAAAGGAATACAGCCCTGCTGGCACTTTGATGATTGCTTAGTGAGAAACATTTCAGATATCTGAATCCCCAAACTGTAAGATGGTAAATTAGTTAGTTTAAAGCATCAGATTTGTAGGAATTTGTTAAAGCAGCAGTAGGAAGCTAAGTATACTTTCTGTGAGAAATCTTATGCCTCCCGAGGACATGAATGAGGTTGTCTCTTCTATTTGTGACCCAACAGCAAAACTCTGCCCTTAAGCAGTCTTAATGCTCATGGAACATATCTATCATATCTTATTCTAGAAATGATCTTGTCCAACACAGTCACCTCTGTACATATAATCACTCAGCATTTATAACTCTTAATGCACCTGACCTGGACTGGAAACTCCTGAGAGGAAGAATCTGGGCAGCTAGCTACACCTGAAAACAGGGTCATGTACAAACCCCTCTGGGGGTTGCTGGGTGACATGAAGTTAGAATCGTAATTGCTTCAAGAGCAAGAGGGAAAGAACCAAAGAGGCAAAGGGCACAGCCAGAGACTTCTGTGGAAATTTTACAGAACTCATGAGGAAATTGGAAGGTTTTCCCGGACTCTAGAGACCCATCTCTTTCGAAGCGCCAGCCCTTCTACTTTCAGGAAAGAATCTGACATTTATAAATTAAGCCATGTTGTGAATTTATACCAGAGGTTCTTATCTTCCTGGACTATGTGAATTCTAAATTTTTTTTTGTGTTTTTATCAGTCATGGGGCTTGAACTCTGGGCTTAGGCACTATCCCTGCGCTCTTCAGCTCAAGGTGAGCACTCTACCGCTTGAGCCACAGCTCCACTTCCAGATTTCTAGTGGTTAGTTGGAGATAAGAGTCTCATGGAATTTTCTGCCCGGGCTGGCTTTGAACCATGATCCTCAGATCTCAGTCTCCTCAGTAGCTAGGATTACAGGTGTGAGCCACTGGCACCCAGCTTCTAAATGTGTTTTATGTTTGTTGTTAAAAGTTTTCAGAGGTGAGCTTCTTGCTTTCCAAATAACAACTATGTCCTGCATCAAACTGCTGACTAATTTTGCTGAGATCATCTATGGCAAGAAAGCATGGCAGAGTCAGGTGCCATACGCCTATAATCACAGGTGTTCAGGAGAATGAGATTTGAGGATCACAGTTCAAATCCAGCCCAGACAGGAAGGTCGGTAAGACTCTTTCTCTACAATTAACCAGCAAAAAGCCAGAAGTGGCTTAAGTAGTAGAGTGCTAGCTTTGAGCACAAAAGCCTAGGAACAGTGCCTAGGCCGGCCCTGAGTTCAAGCCCTAGGATTGTATCAAAAAAGAAAAGAAAAGAAAGTAAAGGAAGAAAAGAAGGCAGGAAGGCAAGCAGACAGGAAGGGATGGAGGAAGGGAGGGAGGGAAAGAAAGTATGGCAGGAAGCTTGGCATGATAATTTAAACCTGAATTCCAGTTTCCTGAGAGGTGAAGACAGAAGGATCATGGTCGAAGGAAGGAAGGAAGGAAGGAAGGAAGGCAGGAAGGCAAGCAGACAGGAAGGGATGGAGGAAGGGAGGGAGGGAAAGAAAGTATGGCAGGAAGCTTGGCATGATAATTTAAACCTGAATTCCAGTTTCCTGAGGAAGGAAGGAAGGAAGGAAGGAAGGAAAGAAGGAAGGAAGGGAGGGAGGGAGGGAAGGAGGGAGGAAGGGAGGGAGGGGATGGTTGGTTATACAGAGATGGCAATATGGAGGTATGACTAGTACCTTAGATAGAACCTTCAGTGCTTTCAAAGCCAGCTGCTAACATGGAGCAGTTCACATATCCTTGGAGATTATGTGATAAAGGAAAAGGGAATCACTGAGGATAAATCCCAGTGTGGTTTGAATATGTCCTTTAAAGGTCGATATATTGTAGACTTGATCCCTAATGCAGCAGTGTTGGGAAGAGGTTATTAGATGACGAGGGCTCTGCCCCTATGGTATATTAGTCTATTCATGGATTACTAATTTGTCATGGGAGTGGCTTTTCTTCCCTGCTACTGGGGTTTGAATTCAGGGCCTCTCACTTGCTCAGTGGGTACTCTACCACTTGAACCATGCCTCCAGTTGTTTTTGCTGGTTAACTGGAGATGGAATCTAAAGAACTTTTCTGCCAAGGCTGACCTTAAACTGTGATCCTCCAGATCTCAGCTTCCTGAATAGCATGCATTTCAGGCATGAGTCAGGTGCCCAGCTGGAAGTGACTTTTTGTCCAAGCAAGCTTTCTGTTTGCTTTCTGCCTGTGTGATGTCTTCCACTACACTATGGTCCAGAGGTAGCCCTCCTCATGCTGAGCAGATGGTAGCATCATGCTCTTGGATTTTCCAGCCTCCAGAAACGTGAGCCCAATTATTCTTCATAAATGGCCCATCCTATGGTATTCAGCGGTGGAAGCAACAAACAGATCTCATATCAAGCTCCTGATCCAGCTAGGTCCATCCACTACATTGTGAATATAGGGAGAAGAGAAATCTCAGAGCAAACAGACCTCATTCTCTTATGAGCCTGCAGTAGACCCATCTGGAGATATATAAGCAGTGGGTGAAGCTATAGGCCTAGGACATAGGGCCTACCTAGTAATCAATGTGGAAAGATCACGTTAGAACAGATGAATAGAAAAATCAACAAGGGGGCTAGGAAGGTGGCTCATGGTAGAGTGCTTGCCTCACATGCATGAGGCCCTGGGTTCGATTCCTCAGCACCATATAAGCAGAAAAAAGCCAGAAGTAGTGCTATGGCTCAAGTGGTAGAATGCTAGCCTTGAGCTGAAGAACTGAGGGACAGCACCCAGGCCCAGAGTTCAGGCCCCACGACCAACAAAAAATAAATATAAAAAGTAAGAAGAAAAAGAAAAATCTTCAAGGATGAGATTTAAAAAAAATAAGCTGGGCGCCGGTGGTTCACACCTGTAATCCTAGCTACTCAGGAGGCTGAGATCTGAGGATCGTGGTTCAAAGCCAGCCTGGGCAGGAAAGACCATGAGACTCCTATCTCCAATAAACCACTAGAAAACCGGAAGTGGTGCTGTAGCTCAAGAGGTAGAGCGCTCGCCTTGAGCTGAACAGCTGAGGGACAGCACCCAGGCCCAGAGTTCAAGCCCCATGACTGACAAAATAATAATAATAATAACAAAACAACAACTTCATCTGAAACCCTAGTCAAAAAACAGCATTTAAGAAAACAGGCAGGGCACACCTGTAATCTCAGCAGGTAAGGATTTTTCTACTCAGTTACATCCTCAAATGTAAGAAGAAAGGAAATAAATGAAGGAAGGAAATAAATGGGAAAGCACTTGAAAGGGACCTGGGATGAAGAAGTACTTGTTCTATTTGAAAATGAGAAAAATCAAGCATCGGAAGCACCCAGAGGATTAGACTGAGAAATGGAGTGGTCCACAAGCAAGGAGTCCATATACGGGGCTGGAAAGACAGGAGACAGATATGTGTAGAACTGCTGGGCACTGGTGGCTCATGCCTATAATCCTGGCTACTCAGGAGGCTGAGATCTGAGGATCTCCCATCAAAGCCAGCCAGGGCAGGAAAGTCCATGAGACTCTTATCACCACCAGAAAACCAGAAGTGGCACTGTGGCTCAAGTGATAGAGCACTGCCCTTGAGGTGAAGAGCTTGGGGACAGCTCCCAGGCCCAGAGTTCAAGCCCCATGACCGAGATGTGGGTTGGGTGGCAGTGGGAGATATGCATAGAACTGAGAATGATAAAGAGAGTTAAGTCATCACCCAGTGCCCCCCCCCTCCCATTTCACCCTCCTGTAAGAACAGACAGTGGCTTCTCCCCAAGCTGCCCACATGACTCAGCCCCAACCATACACTCACCTCATGGAGTTTGTCAGCCTTCTGGGTCTGTTTCTTTCGACTTCTTTGAGCAGCAACTCGGTTTTTTTCTCTCCTTCGAACCTTCCTGTCATCATCCTCGGGGCTCTGGGGGAATAACATTTGAGAGGTGTGATGCTGAGGCCCTTCACCTTACCGGGCTCTGAGGCTCACTGTTGCTACTCCAGCTCCATTTCAATTTCATTCAACAGCACCTCTTCCTTCTACACCAGCAGACTAGCACCAGCAGACAGCTACCTTTTTTTGTTTGTTTTCGCCAGTCTTGGGTCTTGAACTCAGGACCTGGGCATTGTCCCTGAGCTTCTTTTGCTCAAAGCCAGCACTCTACCATTTGAGCCATAGTGCCACTTCCGGCTTTTTCTGTTTATGTGGTACTAAGGAATTGAAGCACTCTACTATTAAGCTACACTCCTAGCCTGACAGCTACCTATTAAGGGGTGCTCACTGTCTGCTGAGGAGTTAATCTTCCACCATCCTGAGGAATGTGTACTGTGACTACCATTTTAAAAATGAGAAATAAGAGTCAGGTTTGGTAGCTCAGGCCTGTAATACTATCTACTCAGGAGGCTGAAATCTGAGGGTTGCAGTTCAAAGCCAACCCCAGCAGGAAAGTCCGTGAGACTCCTCTCCAATTAAGCACCAAAAAAGCCAGAAGTGGAAGTGTGGCTCAAGTAGTAGAGCACTACTAGCCTTGAGTGGAAAAAGCAGAACTCAGGGACAGAGCCCAAGTCCTGAGTTCAAGCCCCAGGACAGGCATACATACAGAGAGAGCGGGGAGGGGGGAGAAAAAATAAGAGGGCTTGGGACTTGCTCAGTGATGGGACACTTGTGTTGAGACCTAAATTTGATGATGCCTAGTACCAAAAAATTAAATATAAATATGAGGAATAAGAAACTCAGACAGGTTAAGGAACTGACGGTAGGTATCAAATCTATAAGGGGGTGAGTGGGAAGTGGAACTCAGGTCTGTTGGCCTCCAAACCAGTGTTTTTAAACCTCCACCCCACAGGGCGTGTGCCTGGAAGAGTTGTGGTGGCAAAGTCAGGGGCATCTGCTACCTGGAACTTGTCATGTGCCAGCAGTAAACCACCATGCCCTAGGAGATGCTTCTGATACTGTGTGGAATCATGATTCTACGTTTATAACTAATTTTAACCACATAACTCTACAAGCCCACGGAATGATCTCGGACACCACTGAAGATGTGATCGTTTGGACGTGTGGGACAACATGTCACTGACATTTTGCTTCAGAGGTCAGCATGAATCCAAAAGCAAACTTATGATGTGTCTGGAGAATGCTTAGTCATATGTGAGACTTAACCAAATGTGTCAAATTCTTCAACAGGTGTAACAGGCAGGCAGGAAAAAAAGAATGTGTCTACCATAGTAAAAATGACTCACTATAGAAAACATGGGAAAGGATAGTAGTATTTGATTTCCTGAACTCCAAGAGAAGATCTGGTGAGTGGGTACTTCTTAAAAGACTTTAAAAGAAGAGGTTCAGGGCTGGCAATATAGCTCAGTGGTAAAGTGCTTCTCTTACATGCACAAGACCTTGGATTTGATCATCAGCACCAAACCAAAAAAAAAAAAGACAAAAAACCCCCAAAACCCCAGAGGTTTGTTCAAGTATTAACTTTAATGGAAAGCAAATCTTGATACCAGAAAAAAAGTGGCAATTTCATTAATCATTTTAGGTGGTCTTATATTCCAAATAAAAAAGACACATCATCTTCCCAAGCTACGGCTGGTAAGAATTTCCAGCATATGCTACAACAAAATGGCATAAAAAGAGAATAACAGCATAGCACATAGAAATGGAGACAACATTTGAGAAAAGAGGTAAGCTAGACTTTAGATGTTTGTGTATCATCTGTATCTCATTTAGTCCTTACAAAAATCCAGAGAGATAGGTACTGATGGCGCACACCTGCAATCCCTAGCTACTCTGGAGGCTGAGACCTGAAGATCGCAGTTCGAAGCCAGCCTAGGCAGAAAAAGTCTGAGAGACTCTTATCTCCAACAAACTACTCAGAAAAAGCCAGAAGTGGTGCTGTGGCTCAAGTGGTAGAATTTTAGCTTTGAACACATAGAAGCTCAGAGACAGCACGTAGGCCCTGAGTTCAAGCCCCAGGAAATGGCCAAAAAGAAAAGAAAAAAAATATCCAGAGAGGGTAATGTGTGTTCATTTCACACACAGGAAAACTGAGGGTCAGAGAGGTTAAACACATTGCCCAAGGTTACTCAACCTGTGTGGTTAAGCCAAGATTCAAATTCAGACCAGCGCTCCCATTTCTAGGGTCACCATATGACCTTCTGCGCTGGACACCAAATTGGGGGTGGGGATGGGAAGAAGAAGAACCAAAAGATCCCCTTCTTGGTCTTAAACCAACTTGGTGAGAAGTTTCCAACAGGCCTCGTCTCTTCAGACAACCCAGTCTCAGTCTGCTATGAGTACAGTAAATGCTGTTGGGGGCAGCTCAGGGGGCTGACTCGGTGGGGGTGCACTGCGGATGACTCACCCCCGCCCCACATCCCAGACAGACGCGTCCGACCTTCCCCACTGGGTTGGCAGCAAGGGGGGGATGAAAGGAGGGACCGAAAGCCCTTCGGGCTGAATTTCTCCTCTCCTTCCTCGGGTGCTCCAGCCTCGCTCGGGGGGTGGGGAGGGGGGGCCGGTAGGAAGGGCCATGCACACACAGGGCGGCCTTCCACAGCCTAGGGATGGAGCGCCCCATCCCCGCAGCTCAGGCCCACGTGCCGGGGTGCACCGCGGCGCCTGGTCCGGGTCAGCTCTGTGCGCCCGGAGTCGGCGCCCCGCGAGCGCAGGGCCCACGGCGAGCCGGGCT